CAGAATCAGCACTGTGTTATGACAGACATGAGATAGCCCTCAAACCTGAAATATTTATACTGCCTGCTCCTTTGTAGATAAAGATTGCAGACCCTGTAAGTAGATTTTCTGTTCCCTTGGGCTAGTTTCTTAATCTCACCAAGCATCATATAATCTTATCTCTACAGATTTGGAAAGAGCCTTAAAAATAATTTTTGTTAAACTCTACCCTGTACATTTCTCTGCATAGATCACCTTTCAGAATAACCGATAGTTACTTAACTACTCTTCCAAAAGATGCAAATACGAAAATCCCATTGTCTCATGAAATAGCACATGCTTATCTCCAACAATTATTATTCAAAATGAGACAGAAATGTCTTCTTCATGTGGAGCAAAATGTTTCCATCCCTGTGACTCCCATGTCTAGTCTTACAGCTGCCTCTGGGACCATGGAGAATAAATGTAATCTCTCTTCTACTTGAAAGCACTTTAAGAATTTGACTGTGCTGTCATATTGAAAGTGGTTTGTGTGACTATGTGTAGTGTCAGCCACGAAGGAGGTGGAGAACTCACATGCATACCTTGCAAAGTAAGATCTTCTTTAGAATGTCACCACTGCATGAGGGAAGGGGAGTCATAGCATAGGTCAAGTTTTCATGAGTTTCCACAAGCGTGCCTGAGAAAGCCTCCCAGCAGGGAGAGGTTTGAACATTGCTAGCTTCTTCCTCCCTTCTAGGTGAGATGGTCCACCTCCCACTTCCTCCTTAGAAAGCCCTGAGTCTCAACTCATGTGAAATTGATGACCAAGCCCCAAATCCTGCTAGAATTCATGTCCCAGCTCCAGGAGACTGCAGATGCTGTGAGCAGGCTGTGAGGACCCCAGAACTCACCTCCTCTGCAGAGGGGAAGTGCTCTTGGCCAGGGAAAAGCCAAGCTCCTGCACAGCAGCTCTGCTCCCCGCTGAAGCCTGGGCAAGGAACTGACCAGAGGATTCTGGTCTCAGAGTCTGAGCAGCAGCCACCTTCCAGCACATCTGTCCATTCCTGGGGGTGACCATACTCAGGGGCACAGTCATGCCAATGGAAAAGACTCAAGTGACCTAAACTCTCATTAGAGCTACAGACCCCATTTACATTTGTGTCTGGTGTCTTGTCCTAAATATAAAGCTTTCCTAGTGCTTTAGTCACCATAATTGCATTTATTCCACAGCATTTGTTGAGTGTGTGCTAGACCATGTGCCAGCGCCCGATGTCCCAATTTCTCCAATTTGTGTTGAAGCCTCTTTCTCCTCCATTCCTTAAGGATCCTTGTTGAAAATCCCTCTTTGGGGTCTTTCCTCCTTCATTTTTTAAATGCTGAATAATATCCTCATCATTGTCTTGTCAGCAGTTAGAAAACCAGGAATGACTCCTCGCCCTTCTTCTGCCCTCCTTTCAGTCTGTCACCGCTCTTGGATCAATCTTACCTGTCAAAGACTTCTAAGTCTCATTCCCTCCTCCCACTAGCCCATGCCATGGCCCTGAGGCAGCAATGTCTGACTTCCTTCTACCTCTCCAGCTTTACCTATCCCCACTTCCCATTGTGAGTTAATATTCCAAAATTCTGAATTGTTTGCAATTTAATGCTATCGCTTGTTTTCTATTCCATTTTCTTCCCTGCCTGGTTTGTCTGCCTTATTCCTATCCATCTATTAAACTTCAGCCCAAGTATCTCTTGCAAGATTTCCTTTTGAAATAAGTGGTGTATCCCTTATCTAAAATATTTGTGGCCAGAGTATGTTGGATTTTGACATGTTTGGACTTTGAAATATTTCCATATACAGTACACGAAGAGATATCTTGAGAATAGGTCCTATGTCTAAATTTCTTTATATTTTTAGATAGTCTGAAAGGACCTTTTACAGTATTTTTTAGTGCATCTGTGTTCTGACCGTGACCCATCACATGAGGTCAGGAGTGGAATTTTCCATTTCTGACATCATATCAGTGCTCAGAAGTTTTGAATTTTGGAGCATCTCCAATTTTGGATTTCCCAGTTGGTGGTGCTCAAACTGGTACTGCTTTCCCCATCTCTCCCCTTGCCACCAGGCTTGGTCGTTACCCCTTTGTGTGCCCCACGACAGTGGACGACTTTATTACTGAGCAGAGCATTTATTCTTTCACAGTGCATTATGATCTCCTTCAAAGCTGGAGCAACTCTACGGTCTTCATGCTTATTTCCTGGGTGTTTATTTCTGCCCTGGGTATAACTGGGCCTCTGCGAATGTTATTTGTGTCAATCAATGTTAAAATCAACTTGAGGGTACACATGAGTCGGGGCCCCAGAGAAGCATGCAAAGCGAAATACCAACAGAACGACCCATCTCTTGGCATATCTCCGTGGACCCCCACAGCAGTTCTCCCTCAGATGCTGAAGTTTTTGACAATGACATGCATTACTGAAAACCACTCCCTTCATTAATAGTTATATGTCTGCAATAATAGTAACTAGGGGCCAGGGATTTAGCTCAGTGGTTCTCCTACTTGCCTCGCAAGCACAAGGTCCTGAGTTCGATCCCCGGTACAAAAAAAAAAAAGTGCCTGAAATAATGGTAACTAGGATGACCCTCTTATTGTTTGCATCACTGGAAAAAGACTCCCGGGAACATAATGAATTTTGTGATTTCTGGGTCAGAGGCCTGTGCTCGCCTTCCCCTCTGTATTGGGGAAATTCTGCCCTGCAGAATTCAGGAAACGGTGGGGTGGGCAGAGAACAGTGGCACTGGGCTTCTGCTTTGTTTATCATAATGAACTGGTCAATAAACATCACAAATTGTTTATCTGTATAAATCTTGACAGATTACTTTTTATGAAATCCATTTAGCAAGTGAGGTTTTCCCATAAGGATGAAAAATGAAGATTTTAAACAGATTGCGGGAGCAGTCTGGCTGTACCAGGAGAGTCGGTGTAATAAAGGTTTCTTTATATTAATATTACAAAAACCATTTATCCTGGCAAAATCAATATCACAATTCATCTCAGTTTGGTGTTTCTCTTTCTAAGCTTAAAATGTCTTTTCCTTTATTATGTATAATTTTGTTTTAATAAATGTGAAATATATTTCATTTAGCAGGTACTTAGGAGTAGGAATAACATAAGCTCACATCAAACTTGTTCCTCATTTGCTAAAGAGGCTTGGAAATGTTTACAATTATATTTGAGTGGCTGAGAAATGTAAAGGAATCACTTTACTCCAACCTTAATTACCAAATTAGCCCCCATGTCCTTTGAGCTAGAAGCAAACTGCAATATTCAGAAAAGTCTCCTCCAATGAATTGTGTTAGGGAAAATCCTCTTACTGATATTAAGCAATTATAGCAAGTCAGATACATTCAACATAACAGTGGCTGGAAGAAGCATCTATAAAGTCAGGAATAGACACATTTAATTACTCAGACATTGCATGCTTTCCTATGGGGTGATACATTTATTCCATTTGGATTTGGAACTTAATATCCCACGGATATTGACATAGTTGTCTCGGAATTATGTGTGTAGCAGTTGGCTGGAAGAAAATAGAACTACATCAAGCAAAGGAATTATGTTATACACTGGAAACTATTACTGTAAATGCACTGTATGCAAAATAAGTGTGATTGTCTCATGAGTGAATGGTAATAAAAACCAAAGCACTCAAGAGACCTTTATTTATGAGCAGTGTACTGATTTATAAATATATATACACAAGTCGAGAGAAGCTTGCCTCTTATTGTTTATGCTCACCAATACTACATTAAAAGCCTACAAACAATATACCCTAATAGCATATAATGAAATTAAGAACCAAATATTTCATTGCTGTTATAATTCAATTTTAATTTCAATGCATAATTTTCTTCAGCTCCAATACCCTGGACAAAACATCTATTTGAAGTGCAATTCTGATGGAATGTGTACAGATAAAAGACCTAATATAGCTGTTTGTAGGGAGGGAAATGTCCTTTCATCATGACCATAAAAAGGGCAAACTATAGTACAGTGGTTTTCGGGAGAAACTGTACTTTTCTTTATTCCCAAGGGGATATTAGTCCATAAAGCAAATTTGCAGCTTATTTGGCAGCCTTGGCTTTTATCGGCCTTTTGAAGGATGTTGAATGATTACCCAGGAGGTCACACCGTAAAAGTTGCAGTGGGGCAAAGTAACTCTATCCATCAGCATCCTTATTAGAACACAGAGGTGAATCTATTTCCCGCCGCTTTAAATGTGCCATGGAAAGAGGCCCTGCTTAAAGGTCCCTTTCACTGTTGTTTGCTGTTTTTGCGTCTCTTATACCATGGCACCCAAATTGCTTACTCTGACTCCCATGGAGTTACCTCATTCTCTTTGTATAACTCACATCTTTACACACATCAGAGTAATGCTTGAATCTCCAGCCATTCTGAATAAATGTCCAAATATTCTGGATATTAGTGTATACAATAAAAAGTAAAATATAATACTTGTTACAGCATCAACAGTTCTAGAACCTGTCTTCTTCAAATGTTCCACCAAATTTAGTCTTTACGAAACCAGTACAGAATTTCAACATCCTTAGGGAGAACAATGTCGGCTTCACTCCAGTTTTCTGCTCTGTAAATGGAGAGTTACTTTAAAAGATAATTTTATGGGTAATGTAATCTCAACATTTAGCTGACAATGGAACTGCTATTGTAAGACAGCAAGATTCACAGTATTATTAATGAACAACTGGTATTCCAACTGACCCAGAAGATGCATCAAGACGTGTAAAAAGCAACGCTTTAGGGGACTCAGTTAGTTTTCAAAGGAAAGACTTCATGCAGTTTTTACCATGTGCAGCCTTTGATAAATATCTCTTCTGTTTTGTTTTATTTTGTGTGTGTTTCACTCCAGCGTCCTTTTCAGTCTGTTGGCTAAAACAGAGTGTTGTACTCCACAATGTTATTGATAGGTATAACATATACGATGCATTATTAATCAAAATGCTATTCTCTTTGATGCTTTATTTGTCTTGTTTTCAGATGTCAGCCTTGTAATTGTCGCCTCTCAGGAGCCTTGAATGAAACCTGTCACTTGGTCACAGGCCAGTGTTTCTGTAAACCATTTGTCATGGGTTCGAAGTGTGAGGCTTGTGTTCCTGGCGCCAGCCACTTGGACGTCCACAACCCATGGGGCTGCAGCAAGAGTGAGTGAGCTCCGGTGCATTGCGGGTGTGGGGAGCACAGGCACAGGTAGAAACTCCTGCTCCGGTGGAATACGTGCGCCAGGCTTACGCACCAGATGGGGAATCTGGTTTAAAACTTTCAAAAATCGCACTACATGACGTGTGTGTGCTCTTCTCTGATGAAGTAATTGGAGATGATGAAATTATTATGTTCTTAGTGAGCAATTTATAATGGTTTATTGGAATTCAATTACTAAATAAGTGATCAAATCCTAGTTTTCCCCAGACTAGGGGATTTTCCAGGACATGGGACTTCCAAAGCTAAAATCAGGACAGTACTGGTTAAACCAAAATGGTGAGTCACCTTACCACACAAGGCATTCATTTCTAGGTAATTTTCCGTAACAAATAGAAGTTCTATTATTTTTTCTTTTTTTTTGGTACCGGGGATTGAACTCAGGTCCTTGCACTTGCGAGGAGAAGTTCTATCCTTATTTATTATGACTTTTATACTCTTCATTCCTCAGAATTTTATGCACACTATTCTACTATTAGTTGCTTTTTGATATTATATAATTATCCTTCTCTTTCCTTCCTTTCCTCTTTGTTACATTAGTTGTTTAAGCATCTCTCACATTTGCATTTTTAATTCCTTGAAGCTAAAGATTACGTTTCGGTATCTTCTGACTTCACAGCACTATTTTCCAAAGCCTCCAGTTGACCTCTTGAGGTCTCCTGCTGTCTTCCAGGTGGCTTTGTAACACACTGATGGTTTCCCTATATTTATTTCAAGATCATATATCCTTACCTTTTCCCGAATTCCTAAGAAATTCCTGCTGGGAACATGTGGTAAGGAGCCCTCTACAACACATTGTGCTGCTGTACCCTCCTGGGTGCCCGAGGCTGTCATGGGCCACAGCGCTGGGCAGTGCTGAGAGTCAGGACAGATCACAGCCAGCCAGCACATAACTGTGCTGCCTGCACCTGAGGGAGAGAGGGGGAGATGGGGTGCTGGCCTCAGAAGCAACCACACTCGATTTTGAAGAAGCGAAAGACAGGGAGGAGATAGTTAAAGATTAAGCAGACAGGTCCGGTTTTGTTCCTGGGTAGCTGCCTTTCAGTGGCCTGTATTTTGTCTGGATCTTAGTATAAAACCCTCTGGGGTTTAGTGTAAGGAACTGTAGGCACTTGTTTCTTTGGAAAAGGACTATCATAACTGGGTTTGTGTATAAATGCAGTCAAAATCCAAATCTGGATTTTAGTAATTGCTATTCATTAATGAACTGTGCTTTTGATTTCTTTGTGTGCTGTATAAATTCTAGCATATTCCTTTTGGTTGTGAATTGTAGCTCATCATTTATAGAGAACTATGGCAGTCTTGCTTAAAACATGCATAGTCTTAGTGATTTCTGGTTGGTTCTCTCACTAATTTTGTGTGGGAATTTTGGTGCCTGTTTCCCTTCCCAGTGCATCTTCTTCTGTAGCCAAGGAAGTGCCTCCTTTCGGGCACAGGAAACTGAGCCTCCCTTTCTTGTTTCCAGCAGATGTTTACTCTTATTTTAAGCCTTTCTTTCTCTGAGAGGAGTTCTTGGTCTCTCCACGTGTTTTTGATTTGTCATAATTTTTTAAACTTTTACATTCATAATTTTTCTTCCCTGGGTAGACTATTCTTGATTCTTCTGTTCCTTTAAAATTGTGATCATTGGCTTTGAACTCATCCCTTCAACTGTGTGGTTGGTACCTCTACTGCTTTAGGTTTGTATTTAACAAAATTTACAAAGCAATGTTAGTTAGAAGCTCCACAGCAGCAGAGGTAACTCCTGAGAGGACAATCAGACAGTGTTATGGCTTGTCTTTCCATGTCCCCAAAGCCTCATGTGGATGAGGTGGGACTTCCTTTTTCAGAGGTGGCTGAATCTGGAATGTGTGATGCTGAGGTTAAGGGCGTGTGATTTCTAAACCACCACATGTGAGTGGTTAGTTTGGCACGGCCCTAATCCCTGTAGCCTGAATTAGATAAAAGGGGCAGGAAGATGCTGTTAACCCTCTTGTTGCCTTTGCTGCCTTGTGTGTGCCATGTTGTTTCTCCTCTGCGACGCCTGTTGCCATCCCTGTCTTGGAGCCAGCTGATCATAGACTGAAACCTCTACAACTGTGAGTTAAATAAACCCCTTCCTCTCTAACTTTGGGTCTCAGGTATTTTTTCTCAGCAATGACAGAAGAGTACCTAACAGGCAGGGTCTCTGCCTCCAGGGAAGGTCAAAGCGTAGCACAGGTGTAGAAAGGGAGCAGGCAAGCTGGCTGTAGGAGAGCGGGAGGGACCGTCTTCCGCTGTGTTCGCCTTGACTGTCTCAGGTATTGCTCTTCATCCCAGCCGCCACAGAGGTGAAGACCAGCCTGGTGGAGGTGAGCTGAGATGCAGAGGAACGCAGTGCACTTGTTGTTGGATCAGTGACTACATGGGGCTAGTCCTCGTCTCTGTGTCCATCTGTGTCAAAAACATGTTTTCCTCAGACACCGAAATGCCTCCCAGAGTTCGTCTTCTTAGTTTGGGGACTGGGATTATAACTATTAATGTATTTTCTGCTTCTGCAGGAGCCATCTGCAACACTTTTTTCCCTTTTTATTGGGCAGGAAATCAGAGTAGGATGTGGAATATAATTTCCAAGTGTGGAAGCTTTGAGTTTAAATAAAGTAGTTAGAGCCTCTCTGGCCGTATGCTTCCCTATCAGGTGAATTACTCCTTTCTACCGGTACTGGCTTCATCCTTTCACAGTGATAGAAGCAAAGCAAGAGTTAAGTAGCTCTGCTTTGGCATACTTTCCAGTGAGTGAGATTCCAGTTTATCGCAGCATCTGTGAACTTTGTTTATGTTTGTATGTGTGTATGTAAACATACACGTACCGCATAGACACATACGTGCACACACACATATGGACGTTCGTAACACCCTTTTTTAGTCTCCTAGATACTCTTCTCACGTTTATGTTTTCCTTTAGCTTGTTCATCTTTTATTCACATTTTTTTCTTTATCCTGCTTCTCAGAGAGCCTCTGGGAGTTCTTTTATTAATAGCTTTATGGAAATATGATTTGTAGAAGTTTGACCATTTTACATGTACGGTTGGATGCATTTTGGTGACTTTGGGATTGTGTAAACATGATTGCCATACCGTTACGGAACACTTCTGTCGCTTGAATACAGCTCCCTGTGCTCTGTTCAGCCAGTCTCCTTTTCCCTTCCAGCCCCACACAGCAAGGTATCTGTGTTTGGATCCAACAATTTTGCTTTTCCTGGAAATTTTGTGTAAGTGAAATCACAGAATGGGTAGGCTTTTTACAATATTTAGGTTTTTGTATGACCTTCTTTTTCTTAGTAAAATGTTTTTGCCATTCATCTGTACTATTGCATGTCTCAGGAGTTTGTTCTTTTTATTGCTGAGTAGTGCAGCACTTTATGGATAGGCATGGTTTTGTGTGTCCATTAGTGAGTTAATATGTAGATTCCCTCTGGTATTTGCTATGAATAGTCCTTCCAAGGACATATGGTTACAAATGTCTCCATGGACCCATGTTTTCCTTATCTATCTATCTACCTACCTACCTACCTACCTATCTACCTACCTATCTACCTATCTACCTTCCTACCTACCTACCTATGTGGTACTGGGAATGAACCCAGGGCCTTCACACTGGGCTATATTTCCAGCTCTATTTTTTAAAACTTTTTTCCTGAGATAAGGTCTTGCTAAGTCTCTAAGTTGCCCAGGCTGGGCTCAAACATGGAACCTTCCTGCCTCAGCCTTCCAGAGATCTAGGATTACAGGTGTATGCCACCATGCCCAGCTTAGATGCATATTTTTGAAGCTCTTGGGCATGCTTGGGAGTAAAAATGCTGATTTTTATGGTGAGTGTATTCCTATTTTTTTAAGAAACTGCCCACTCCTTTCCACCGTGGCTGTTTACATTTGCAGCAGCAAATTGTGGGCCCTCCAGTTTCTCCATGGCCTCAGCAACCTTTGACATTAGCTACATTTCATTTTAGCCATTTAGTGCACACACAGTGTTGTTTTTTGTTTTTTTTTTTCTGTACTGGGGCTCAAACTTGGGACCTTGCGCTTGGGAAGCAGGCAGCAGAAGCACTAAGCTAAATCCCAGGCCCTCACACACAGTGGTTTTAATGTGCATTTTCCTAGTGATCAGTGTTGTACTTTTCATGCAAATAATTTTCCATTTGAGCATTTTCTTTGGCAAAAGGTCTCTAAAAACCTTTGCCTGTGTTTTATGAGTTGTATGTCTTGTTGATTTAACAAATTATTTACATAATTGAGATAAAACTTATATTAACTCCTTTTTTAGTATACTTAACGATATGTTTTGAAGAATAAAAAGCTTTATATTTCATGAAGTCTACTTTGCCCAAATTTTCCTTTAATGCATCGTGGTTTTGTATTTTGTCTAAGAAATATTTGACCCATGTAACAGATTTTCTCAATATTTTCATCTTAAAGTTTTGCATATTTAACTTTTGCATTTGGGTTTGTAAAGTAATCTGAATTAATTTTATACTCCTAAAAGATGAGATCAGCATCTACTTATTCTATTTTTACTCTTTGAAACATGAGTATCTGACTGTTGCTGTAATATTTGTTGAAATGACTATCCTTTTCCTACTGAATTGTCTCAGAATTTACGCCAAAAAAAATTAACCCTTTAGCCGGCGTCATGAAGTTTGCCTTCAGATCAAGCATGCTGCGAGGAGGGTCACTGCTGTGACTGCTGTCCAACACTGCAATGCGGGGTAGCCAGGGCAATTGGACAAGAAAAAGAAGTAAAAGCCATCCGAATTGCAAAGAAAATTATCTCTATTTGCAGATGATACGATCCCATTCACAGAAAATGCAAAAGAAACCACGAGAGAAAGCTTTTAGAAGTAATAAATTCAGCAAACCAGCATGCCGAAGATCAATATGCAACATAGTTGTGTTTCTGTAAACAAGCACTGCATAATCTGAAAAAGAAA